GGGCGCCGGCTAGAGAGGCGTTGAACTCCCCCATCACCACCAGCGCATCCCTGACCTTGACCTGTCACATAAATCGGCCTGGAAAGGGGGGCCGTCAATTTTTGCATGTCATTGCGATTCTGCTCTGAAGTCTTGACAGTGGAGCACATACGTTTGTACACGGAGGCAAGCGTGACCTCTGCAACCTGACTCTAACAAAAATGTGTCTATTAGGTTCCTGCTCCAACACATTATATGCTTGGCAATCTTGGGAGGTGGAAAAGCACGACACCATCGGCCCGGTGCGTCAGCGGTGCGGAAGTTATCCCAGTCGACGGTGCTGCCGGCATTGCCTCACGTTTCCCTGCAGGCTTGCTCCTAGTGTCAGGTGCTTTTTTGGGCTGAAACTTGGAAGCTTTAGCAAACCCTGTCGCAGCTGTGGACGCACTGTGCCTACTGCAAACTCTGCTTCTTAGTTCCGATGAGTCTCCTGCAGAACTATGACGTCAGCACCTAGATGTGCTGGATTCCACGTTCTAACTTTTTGTTCCTTGCGCAGTCAGCCTCCCTAGCCTTGGACTATGGGCAGCCGAAGCATCTGCTGCCCTAGGTGGATCTTCAGGAGGCATCAGTCCCCATTGTTTCAACAGCTCTGGTGTTGGACTACCCCCGCGGTACAAGAAGGATTCCTGTGTGACAGGTCCTTTTACGAATGATCTCAAAGTCGTTTTAGTGTTTAGGCCGTTGCGCCATCCGCTAATCTCGCCATCCAGTCGATCACTGCTCTCATGGCATGAGAAGTGAGATCCCTACCACCTCTCTCCTGGCTGCATGCAATTGCTTAGAGGTTCAAGAACTGAGACCCGGCACTCTACCGCATAGGCAACTGAAGTAGCACAGGGCAATGACTGCCCTCAAAACAGCTAAGCAACTAGAAGAACTCACTGGAAGGTTAAGGGTTGCAGAGCGGTTGCCAGGGCTTTCCTTGGATCAGCTCTACTTCCCCTACATGAAACTGCGGCCGAGACTTGGTGGCTTCAACAAGAACAAGAAGCACTTTAGAGATTAGGGTTGAAATGGATTTAGGGTACCCCTCTTGCGACCACAAATGTTATGACAAGTGCAACTAGTACGTTGACGACAAGGACAATGAGGCGCTCTCTATCGTGACAGATGTGACTACATCACATCGATATGGTCATTCCTTGCATAACCAGCATGGTTCTACCCTCAGATCTGCAACCTGAGTCCTGAGGTGCTCAAGCTTCTGGACCCTGCACCAACACCATAAAGTTAATACCGGCAACGCATCCGAGATTGCTGACTGCTGTCCTGAAAGCCGTCGCTGTCCTGGGGGCTGTCGCTGTCCTCCAGGCGCTATTCGGGCCGACGATGCAGAATACTCATCCAATTCATTCCGAGTCAAGAGTGCAGCTGAAAGATAATCTTGATCTTGCAGCTCACTCCAGGTCATCCCCCCAAGGAGTGCTGCAACAATTCTTGTCCAATGTGCAGCACAAGCAACAGATCTTATGCCACACGAAGTTAAGATCATGTTGCTACAACCCTTGCCACCAATGGAAAGGCCTGCAAACTCCACTTCAAGGTTGAACCAGTGCCGTTGTAGTCTGTGCTGGAGAGAAGGCCCGTCGCCGCCTGCTGCAGACAAACAGCGCGGTGTTCTTGCAAAACCAAAAGGCAAGACATTACAAGGCCTCCTTCAGGTAACTCTTCACCTTTTGGAGGGCTTTCTTTCGCTTCTTCTCCTTGCGGTCCGCATCCTGGGTCACAGCAGAATGCTGGACAACAAGGTGTAGGAGTGTAGGATTTCACACTTGTCTTCCAAGCATGTAAAGGCTGAGCGGACTGGCAAATGCCCAAGTGATCTTTCGAAATCTACTTTCCTCGTTAAGCCTACCAACCCATGGACAAGCACAACAATCATACCTACGTTCTGACCACTTCACTAAGCGTCGTTGAAGTGGAAGCCGAGGACATTTCCCAGTGGCACGAGGATGTAAGCCACAACGGCACAAATCATAACTGTCCCAACAAGAGCTAGCAACGGCACACAGAAGTAATACAAGGCTGGAGCAATCTGCTTCGCTGCAAAGCTGCCAGGAACTAATACCTCTGCCTGGCACTCGGCTCCAAAGGCGACGCTTGCTTGTGGGATAATAGCTGTGAGAGACAGAAGGAATTGCATAGCATCGGAAACTTCTTGCGGCCATGCAAATTTGAACAGCTGTTGGCAGTCCCCATCACATTCTGCCCCATCCTGATCTTGTTCTTGCGACCAGGAGAATGGCTCCAATTGGTTGAGATTGAAGCTAAGGAGGATGGAGCAAGCAGCGACCCAAGCTTGCAATATACGGATCATAGAAGTATGAAGTTTCAAGGAGGTCCCGGCCCCCTTTGCGGCAAGTGCTGCAATCACAAAGTTAACAAAGGTTATACGCGAGAGGTCCACAAGGATGGAAGCGCTCAGCAAAGCAGCACGCTGGTTGGGGTCCTGTGCGCACGGCTGGCAGTATTGCAAAGAGCTGCTTCGTCCCCAACCTTCTGGACACTCTCCGCAGAGCATCCCCGATGACCCCTCTGCACACTCGTTGCCGAAGCGATCTCCACAGCCTTTGAGACTTGGATCATACTGGCACCGCCAGGCAAAACCAGTGCAGACACTCTCTCCGGTGGGTAGAGCTACGTGGCACTCAGCAGCCTGCGTGATGCCGGATTGGTACCATCCTTGAATTGCCCTTGGCATAGAATGGTTTGTCGTGCCAGCTATGAAGCCGCCGGTGCAAACTAAACCTCTGTACAGCGCGCAGCTGGAACAACGATCGAGCTTGCCCGTGCTGTCCAACTCCGCTACATAACCATGAATGCAGTAGCAATCATCCACGGCAGTGGATGCAGGCTCGCTATCTGCGTTTGATGGACAAGCCTGGAAGCACACTCCATTGCCCAGAGTGGATTTGTATCTCCCGGAAGGGCACGGATCGCAAAGAGTTGCCTGCTGCGAAGCTTCCCAAGGTCCTTGAGCCTGATATCCAGCTGTGCAAAGACATTCTGTAGCAGTGCGCGCACCATGAGAAATGGTTGTGGAATTGGGTGGGCATCGTTCGGCATAGCCTGTGCCAGTACAATAGAAACCTACTTCACAGCTGGTACAAACTCCTCCTTCTTCATGCAGACCGCCTCCGCATTTGCACTGCTGTACTGAGACGGCACCCAGCTCGAGAGTGGACTTCGAAGTCGGGCACTTCTGACATTCTGTGTCTGCCAGAGTGGATTTGAACTCGCCCAGCGGACAAGCTATGCAAGTCCCAAGCTGCTCATCAAATCCAAAGCCGGGAATGCAAAGACAGTCGATTTCACTCAGAATTGGAACACCCGGCGGCTTGGCAGAAAAAGATGGACACATGACGGTCACGGATAAAACCGTGGGTGTTGATTCCGTCTCAACAATGAAGCCGGACAAGCGGGCATTCTGCTTCAGAGCATTGTCCATGTCACTTACAAGAACTCTGACATCTGTTTCTTGCACGGATCGGTTTGCTTCAGCCATTGATGAAAACTTGAGCCGAATGACAACTGGTGGAAACTCCCCAAGCCGACGACCTGTTGCATCTGCCCACGGCAAGATGACCTCGATTGAATTGCTATCCATGTTGGTAGAGTCAGCAATGCTGCGGCGCAGTGTAGCTAGCAGTTGAGGCTTCAGGCTGGGGTCGACCCAATCTGTGCCCAGCGAGATGTTGAACGTGAGTGCAGATACGTCCGAAGAGTTGATGAGACTAGCTGCCAAATCCACATCTGGGCTGGAGCCTTCGTCAGCCACAGCAATGCAGGAGTCGCTGGACACGGAGCCGGTGAGGAGCGTAGTCAGGTTGTCCGGACAGTCATCACACTCCAGCGCGTTGCCCACCTCGGCTTTGTAGCAACCCTGGTCACATGCTGTGCATCTTCCTGAATCCAGAAAGTAGCCGGCCATGCATGCACACTGCGATCGGGTGGAAGCGAGCCCGTGATCTGTGGTTTCATGTTCAGGACACGGAAAGCGTAGAGCTGAACCTGGACTGCCTCCCGGGCAGTAGAAACCGCGTCCACATGGCACGCTCCGTGAATCTGCAAAAAAATGCCCTTCTGGACAATTCAGTTGCAGTTGTCCAGCTGCTGCTCGAAATGAAGCAGGCGAGGTGCAAGCATGGTTTGCAGGGCACCAGCAAAGTTGGTAAGTGCCTGGTGTGGTGTCTGGAGGGAGGCTCCCCAGCAACGCTTGCAATGCAGCGCCCTCCGCTTGCAGACTGAGAGGCTGCTTGAGTCGGAGTCCTTTGGATGTGAAGCTGGCCACGGCTTCGCAAAGTGTCTCGCTTACAAGAAGCACATCTTCTGGGTGTAGGTCAATGCCTGACAGTTGTACAGTGCAACTACCGCCAACGATGCAGGTGGTGGTCTGCTGAAATGGGCCGGCTGCCGTCATTAGGCCCAGGGGAGCTCGGAAAGCTTGAGGAGTTTCGCAAACCACCTCTCCACTCTGCCGGCAGAAGCAGAGCCTGAAGATACCGGGGGGTGAAAGCAGTAGAGATGACTCTATGAAGTTGAAGAGCACCATGTCGTCTGCAGCCTGGCAACCAATGGTGTTCTAAACGAAACTACTTCAGCGGGAGTACCATCTGGGAATCAATCCGCGCCATTCACAAAACGGCAAGCAAGAACGAGAGGACGGCTTGCGACGAAACAAATGATATGATTCAGACTACCAATGCACAAATAGAGACCCCAACAATCAGCGGATTCCCAGTTTCTAAATGCCACAATTCCAGATGGTGCAGTCAACTCCAACATGGGAGGGTGCAGCTTCCAGGTTTCTGCAAGTGGTTACTTGAAACGGCTTCGCTTTTCATACACTGATTGTGCGTCACGGCAGCCATGGGAAGATGTTGAGAAGCGTTTCCCATTGCCACATGATTTGGACGAGTGTTTCAATCAGCTTCTATTAAGCTCAAAAAACTTGTTTTTCTGCTTTGCTGAAGGATTCTGCACAGCAAGCCATAATGTCATTATCCTCTTTGTGCGCTGCACGTCACCTCTTTCAAGGCAAGAATAATGTGCGTGTTCAGAGCAGCTATGACTGCTTTGCTGAAGCCTCGAACGCGAAACCGACATACCGACCAGGCATCGAAAGAACGGAGCGTTGCTTAACCTGCCCTTTTTGCACCAGACAAGCGGCGACGGCGGCAACAGCAAAAGTCAAGACATCAAGAAGCTAGAGGCAAAGAGCAGACGGCAGCAGCAGCAGCAGCGGCAGCAGAAAAGTAGAAAACCGCAAAACGACGGCACAACAGCAACCCCGCCTCCACATATTGAGCCACGCCCCCGCCTGGGATGCCTTGCACTGCAGCGCCCGCTCCACAGGCGGAAAGAACCATGACGCGGTCACCTGGAGTGGCATTCATGGATCGGATATTCGGCATCGTGCAGGGCTGGCCGATGGAGCAGCTGATCTCCTGGTTGACGTACGGGCCCTCGATGCGGAGCTTGCCTGCTGAGACCAGGAAAGACTCCAGGCTGCAAGGCTCCGGACCACCGCACCAGCACAGCTCGTAACCAGTTTCACTGGCATCAAGCAGCACTGTATGGTCCAGGCCAAGCTGCACATCGGAGGTGCCAAAGTGCAATGAGAAGCTGGCGACTGTGGGCTCCAAAGCAGCCAAGCCATTTGGATTCGACACCGAAACCGCTTGCACAGCTCCGCCACAGCCACCGTTTCGGACAGTCACGCGGTCCAGTGGGGTCAGACCTGCACCCCGGAAAGGCTGCAAGCCATTGCAGTCCTTACCGCGGACACAATTGAAGAGATGGTCAGCGTAAGGCCCATCAACTTGAAGGTGGCCAGCAGGGAGGGGGAAGCTCTCCAAGCCAGCACAGGCAAGGCCAGCCATGTTCGCACACCAGCAGAGGCGATAGCGGCCACCCTCCGGAAGGAAGCCCTTGTCACTCCACGTGTAGATGCTCTCGGGAGTGGCTGGCTGTGACATGCCGCCATCCCCAACATTGCCTACGGGGAGCTTCGAGTCACCACAGTCTTCAGACAGACTGAGGGCAGCACGGTGTCCATCTCTGAGGTGGAAGCCAGTGAGATGGATGCTGCATCCTTGGCCGGACACGCAACGAGCTGGCTGGTCACTGTGAGGCCGAATGCAGAGATCCTCCTCGCCGGACCCAACGGTCTCCGTGGTGGAGCCGGGGGCACAGGGCATGCAGGCTGCCTCAGAGGTGGCGCCCGTGGCATTGCTCCAGGTGCCAATCGCGCACAAGGCAGGCAGGGCCTGTTGCCAATGCCGGCCTTGTAGTGGCCTATGGGGCATGAGCCACATTTGCCCTCTTCAAGGGATGTTCCAGCCACACACTGGCAATGTCCTTGATCACTCGCCGCGTCTGTGGATGTCGTTTGTAACTCTGCGCATGCCTCCCTGTGGTTCCCTCCCTGGCAGAAGGAGCCAAAACCGCAAGGCTCGCAGACCGAAGAGGAACTCTTGGTGAAGCCGGCGATGCAAACGCACGAGCTGGACGTTACCCCCCCTGCCTGCAATGTGGTGGAACCATAAGGGCACTGAAGACACGAGGTATCGTCCAGAAAGTATCCCAAGAGGCAGTGGCAATGCTGAAACTCACCTTGGCAGAACAAGGTTGCCATAATTCAAGGGCCAAAGTCTCACATGAACAGATGCTTGGCAGACTTAGCACGCTTTTCGTCTGAGGAGAATGCTGGAGCCCGTGGCGGAACTGCTCGAAGCAGGGCAGCTCTCCGTTCGCAAGCCATCAGGGCACCACGAGCCCACGGGGCAGTCTTTGCAGGATCCTTCTGACTCATAGCTCCCAGGCGGGCACAGAATTCGCAACGCATAGGCACTTGCGCGAAAATGCTGAACAGACTTGCACGATGCACTTGCAGGGCACCAGCACAAGTCCACTACTTGGGGCATCTCATTGAGATCCAAGTGTCCCAGATGTAGCGACCACTCATCCGTGGAGCCGTGGATTCGAACAGGAGAGTATGCTTGTCCATGGCTCGTTGTCGCATTCGGAATTCCACACTGGTGCCCGACTATCACACTGTCGTTGATGGATAAGCCCACTCCACGCCAAGGAGAAAGGACACAAAGCTGTCCGAGGACGCACTGAGCACTTTGGTTAGGATACGGTCCCTGGCTGATAAGGACGCCAAGCACATTTGCAAAGTCAGGCGCCTGATCACACTGCGACAAGGTCTGATTGCAGTAGCAGAGGCCGTACCAGCCTGGCTCTAGATGCAAGAGAGAGGAGCCACTTTGGTCTACCATGGAGAAGGTCTGGCTGTCTGCAGTCTGAGCCCATCCCAGCAGCTCCCCATCCGAGCATGAGCGCTTCACGACCAGGCGCGCATCCAACAGCGGTGCATCCAGGTACACGAAACACTCCTGGCCCATGGAGCACTTTCGGACTATGGGCTGCATCGCTGGGGCAGTGATGTACCTTCAAAGGTCACTGAGGTAGGACGTGTTGAATCCACCAAATGCGAATAATCCTCGAGAAGCATCATCCCAAACCATTGAATGGCCAGCGCGAGCAAAAGGACCAGTTGTCAGGTCAAACCAAGTGGCTGTGAGCAAGTCAAACCTGCAAGTCTTAAGGTAACCTCAGGCCTGTAGCCTTGGAGACTATTCTGTTGAGGAGCTAAGGTTCCGCAAGAAAACCGGTTCTCACGTTTGGTCTGATCAAGTGACCTGTGGAGCTGGGCGCTGTAACTCAAGTTGCCGCTCACGTTCTGAACACCCGCGAAAACGAGCATGAACATCAGATGTGGAAGCCAAGCAGCAGCGTGCCCAGCCCGGCCGTGCTCAAGACTTGGGAGAGGCTCCCGCCATGCGTCTGCTGAGACATCATAGATGTGCAGGTCATGCAGGTATCTGCTGCCGCTCCACCCACCCAAAATTATCATGGAGCGGGTCACCCCGTCCCACACGGCCGAGTGTTGGCTTCTGGGCGATGGTCCAGAGGAAGCGACACTCCACGCTTTGTTGTGCAGATCGCATTTCATAAGGTCATCAAGCCCAATGCCGTTCTCGCCGGCGAAAACTAGCATCGTGCCTTTATCATCATCCCATACTGCGGAATGGCCTGCACGTGCGGCTGGCGCCATGACAAAGAATAGTTGCTCCCAATTGCCATCCATGGCATAGTACTGCCACAGCTCAGCAAAATACTCGCCCAAGTGGCTCCCTCCAAACACCAGCATCGAGCTGCTTGCTGAGTCCCAGATGGCTGAATGACCGGTCCTGGCGCGCAGCGCAACTTTCAGACAGAGTAAATGTACACTGAGTCAATTAGGACGCGGGCCTGGTTGACGGGCCGCTTGCCGACAGGAACTTCCAGGCCCGCGTTGGCCAGTGATATTGCCAGAGGTCATCAAAATAGTGGAAACTGTTACCTGCACTCCCTGCAAACATGAAGGCAGACTGGCCTTCTGGGTCCCAGACCATGCTGTGGCCTTGACGGCCCTGGGGCCCAGACGTGCTGAACTCGGCCCAACCTTCAACCTCGCACCTCACACCTGGCAGAAGCAGGAATGGTACTATTCGAACAAGCAGAGACGGCCACATGCGGGTGAGACGACACTGTCAAAAAGAGAAAGGCTTTAGCAACTCTCCCATGCCTGCTGCCTCTTGCGGCACACAATCATGAATGTTCCATCCCCGGAAGGTGCAATCCCGAAGGCTCAGTTCCGTGCCAAGGCAGTGGAGGTTATCAATCGCAAAATGTGCAGAGCTTGATGTGTAGAGGCCATATGAAGGATAGCCACCAACCAGACCAAGGTCCTGGCCCGTGAAGGTCCAACTCAGAAGCTTCATATCATGCCACAAGGCATTTTGTCATGACTCTTTGATACTAGCATATACTAGCAGAAAAGAGGCCTCGAGACCCTTCCATCCTGCACATGTCAGTTTCTTCCCACGGCGGTCCTTGCAGGCTACCGTTGCTGCAGCGACGTCGAAACCATCGTCGCAGATCAGTGCCGAAGAGCCGTTGTGCAGCACCTCGAGCCAGCCGTTCATGTCACTGGAGGACGCAGAGGACAGGCGAACTTGCTCCAATTCCTGTCCTGGAGTTTGAGGGAGGAAAAGCGGTGGCAACAAGGCTGCTCCGCCCAGCTCATCAGGGTTGTCACCCACGTGATCAGTTCGGCCTAGGCCTAATGTGCCCGAATTGCCGTACCCAAAGCAGAACATGGCTTCATCAGTCTGCAAAGCGCAGGTATGTTTGCCACCTGGATGGGCAGCATGGACTCTACCGGCTGAAGTGCGTACAAGAGCATCGCCCATCTCGCCACTGTTGTCTCCAATGTTGTTCGTATGGCCCACACCGAGTTGCCCGTAAGTGTTCCAGCCCCAGCACTGCAGGGTCTCATCTTGTAGAACTGCACAAGAGTGGTGTCCTCCTGCAGCTATCTTTGTGGCCATCATGCCGGTGCCCAGGTCCACATCCGACACAGGCGTGAGTCTGGTAACCGTATCCCCCAGGCCGAGCTGACCATACGGGTTCCCTCCCCAGCATCGCACCCTTCCATCGGACAGGAGTGCACAGACATGGTACCATCCTGCTGCAAGTTGAGTCACGGGGAGCCCAAAGTCCAAGACCGGAAGCTGATCTCCCATCTCTCCAGGCTCATTGCCAAGAACAGGTGCGCCTGGTGTGAGACGTCCCCAACACAACACTTTCCCAGCCTCGGATAGAGCACAAGTACATAAATAACCCAGGACGAGCTGAGTGATCCTGGCATTACCCAGGTTCACTGCCGGGAGCGCATCCCCCATTTCATGGCTTGCGGTTCCACGGTTCCTGAGCCACAGGCTGGCAGAAGCACAAAGGATGCATGAGCCGCAACATGCCTCAACTTGCAGTTCAGACTGAGGCCCTAGCTGAGTGTCACCAAGGCCCAACTGTCCCCATTCGTTGCTTCCAAAGCACTTTACGGTGCCGCCATGCAGCACGGCACAGGTGTGATGAAACCCGCAAGCTATCTGTGCCACTTTGGCTCCGCTGCCCAAGTTGACTGCAGGCAGTCGTTCATCCACTTCATTGGGCTCATCGCCAATGGTGGCCGTGCTCCCGCCGCCATGCTGACCATAGTGACCATTACCCCAACACTTCAAACGGCCCTCCCGAAGCATGGCACAGGAATGGGAATGTCCAACGCAAGCTTCCACCACTTCGCTTCCCAAGTTAACCGTCGGCAAGCCCACTCCGACCTCGAGCGGGTCATCACCCAAGTTTTCGACGTGGCCATACCCGAGCTGTCCGTCGTCATTGTGCCCAAAGCACTTCAGCAGGCCAAAAGCCACCACACACATGTGAAGTTGATGACCAGGATGAACGGCAACAGAAGGCGGGACAGCAACTTTCATCGCAAGAATAAAAATATCATCAATGGCAATGTCCACGGCATTAGAACAAAAACCACAACCACCATTCATCGCCGCATGAAGATAGCCTCGGAAGCGGATCTGCTGGGTCGCTTCTGGCAAGCGGAGCTTGACCTGCACGCAGCCAAGCACTCTCGTCTGCTGCATCTAAAAGGCTATGAACGCAGCAACAAGACTTACTTGAACCGTTGCCTGCATCCAGACAGCACCTTGTTCACGAAATTTCGACCATCTCTTCTGCCAGCGGCCTTTACGCCACACCTCTACCTGGGGTCAAAGTTGCAGGAAGCATGCGATGTACGCAGTTAATGCTAACATTCAAATGTCTTTTACTGACAATTGTGTATACACATGTACAGGCCGGGACCTCAAGACTGTAGAGCTCCCAGCCCATCATGCGGTACGCAAAGGCCAAGTCAACCACTTCTCCCTTGTTGGGAAAGAATGGGCTTGCCAATATCGCCTGCACAGTTTGATGGAGGAGGAATTTGTCACACCTACCTTTGCATTCTACCACTATACTAGTTTCCATGTTATTTTTCCATTATCCCAATATAGATCCTATAAAGCTCCAAAAGAACCATAACCCATCATATCCTAGTTGAGGCAATGTGGTTTGGAAGGGTACTCGCGCCTCCAGTGTCCCCCACTGGGCCTGGGGGATGTAAGCAAAGGTTTCACCACGGAATGGTGGGACTCCATCGGTCCGAGCTGCAGAGCTGGACCAGGGACCCTGCCATCCGCAGAAGTCGCCTTCAAATCCACAGCCGATGTCCGTGCTGAAAGCTATGTTTTGCACCTCGAAGGTCTGGATGCGAATGACGTCTTCGGTGCTGTTTGCTGTCGCGAGCAGCCGCAAACGAGTTGTTTCAGGTAACGAGCCCATGAGTTGCTGCCACGGTGCTTCAGAGACCCCAGGCCAGGTCGCCAGATCTGCCCAGTCACCGCCGCTGCCCCCTCTTTGCTGCAGCAGTAACGCAGCCGTAGGCCCTACAAGCTGGAAACGAAGGAAGAAAGTGTAGCTCCCATAAATGGCTCCAATGAGGATGCTGTCTAGGTAGAAAGCTGAACCGTTTTGTGAGCCGTTCACTTGCAGGTAGCCACTTGAAGCGTCGGGGCCCGTGGCCTGGACCCACCCAGAGCCAGGTGGCTCAAACCAGTAACAGCGATCAGCGGCCCCGAAGTCACAGTTAAGCTCGTCCACTGTTGCTTCCAAGCGGAGCCGACTCAAGAGCAGCACCGCACTGCCCGATTTTTTCAGGAAGCGCAAGGCCTGCGACTGGGCTGGCAATCTCACATGAGCTATACGCGCCTCCACCTGTGCTGAGGCTGAGAATTCCCCAATAGAGGTCCATGCTCCATCCCAGGATTGCAGCTGCCAGCTGCTGGTCTCCTGGCCATGCACATTGTAGCTGAAATACAAGATCCATTCACCATCGACGGGAGCGAAGATGGGGCTTTGCATGAGCTCCTGGCAGCTGCAAGTGTGCTGCATGCATTCAACCTGTAGGTTGCAACACAATTGCTAGCTAGACATCTTATGGCCCTCGCAGACTGGCAACAAAGAGGCTTGTCTTCAGATTAAATCAACAAGATTCTGCGCTGCTCACACCACCTGCCTTGTCATCGTTGCTTTCCCATTGTAAAGATATAAAATCCAAAACCCAGCTATCGCACCAGCTTACCCACGTACGGGACAGTGGGGGCAAGTCAGCTTCACTGGACTGATACGAATAGAAATCGCAAATTCCATCCCCGTCCAAATCACTGTCAGTAGTGAGCGAAGGCTGTCCGTAGTCAAAAATCCAGCTCTGCCAGTACGAACTGGACCCAGCACAATGAAGGTCGTGGTAAAGGTATGTCTCGCTGTCTGGATCCACCCGCTTGTAGTAAGGGCGTCCACTAAGCGTCTGGCCAAGCATCTGGTACACTCCATTGACATAGCTGTTGCAGCTGTCCGCGACAGTAAGGCGTGGGAAGCCTGAGCCTCTCCAAGCACAGTCAGTGTCAGCTGCTGAGCCACAGACCACCGCCGTGTCGTAGTCGGGGAGCAAGGCGGCAGTCTTCACTGCATCCACTGCCATACGTCCAGCGAGACCACTGCCAGTAGCGCCCAAGAAACGCACACTCTGCGCGGTCCCTGGCAAAGTTACTTTAGCTGGGAGCCAAAAGTCACCTTCACTGCCGGAGTGCGACCATGCTGTTGACCAGCTTGTGCCATCAAAGTACTGCACTGATAGGCTGTCGGACTGACTCACACTGCTGTCCATATGGTACATGAAGTAGACGCGTCTGTCTGTGCCATTGGCATCGCTGAAAGGCGGACTTTCCAACCAAAACTCCTGCATAAGGCTGATAGAACAAGTGGCGTTCATTACAGTGACATGAACAGACCGGACCAAAACGACATGCAGAGCCCTCCCACCTTGTCGGATGGACTGCTGCTCAGGTCCAAAGACATGTACCAGGCTCCCTCAAACGCGGAGGGACTGGAGCCATTGCGCAGCGTCCAAGCCTCAGGGACAGGATACTTCCTGCATTTCATAGCAGCACTAAGAATCGTGTTTTGATATGTAAAAAACATAAAGTCGTATATACATATATACATGTGTATATATATATATTAACACTGAGAACAGGAACTGCTCTTTTTCTTGTTCGAAACTATTGTAGCCAGTAGCCTGCGAGTCTCTCTTCTACTCTACCATAGTAGACGTTTGTGGCGACAAGGAAAGAATCACGAGATCTCGTAGAAAAGCCATCTGACCCCAGCCTCGTGGTTGCTCGCTGTCCAGCCGCACTCAGAAGCTTCGAAGCTGCAGGCCACAACGTCATAGGCAATGATGGCGCTGGTCTGTCTTGCACGCGGTGCCACGTCGCTTGCCGAACTGTTCACACTGCTGGAGTGCAAGCCTTGGGCGGCAGTGTCCGAAGCCCTCGGCGTTGGAATGAATGATGCGTTGCACAATCGAAATGCCATGCCTTGAAAATCGAGAATGATCTGTCTCTCGCTAGTATGCGGGAGGCCCTCTGGCGGAAAAGAATCATACATAGTACCAGGGCTAGAGCCCAAATTGACATGAAGAAAGCTGTTTGAAGCGCTGCCCACGAGATCTATCGCGAACAGAGGCCGCGATGTCTCCACCTTGGCATGCAAACAGAACCGAAAAAGCACCCCCCTTCCAGATTTTGGAACATGGGGAGCTACTATGACGCTGCCTCAAGATGAAAGATGCGAAGTAAGAAACAACCGGCAAAAGGCGCCCAACCAGCAATACAAACGCTCTGCTTCCACGGTGGAGCCGGCCCTCCTTCTGAAACCTTGAAAGGCCTGGATAGTTATCAAACGCGCTACGAACAACCTCACTGCACCCCCATGAACGCCCTACTGAATCCTGGACACCAGCAAGTGTCCCCAAATGACAAACCCCATGAGCCCCTGAACCATTTCTGCCTGCTTTGGCCATTGACAGTCCCAGCCACAGCGCATGTTCCAGAGGCAAACGATGAGAAGCCGGGACTTTCGATGCATCCTCTCAGGAATGCTACTGGGATTCTTGGCGTGACACGCCATAAAGCTACATGTCAAGATTCACTTCAACGTGTAGGGTCACAAGAACTATCGTTGGGAAGTAAATAAGATAAGCCTGAGAGGTGGTGGCCCCAGCGGTAATAATAGCACGAGCAGCAATATGCCTGGTGAATAGAAATGAGACCGCATTTTCGCTGCCGTTTCCGCTTCAACAACGTCATGGTCCGGGTGGAGCAGTTCGACTTTCACTAGCGCTAGGGTGGGGATCCAATGCCACCAGATTACCATCTTTGAATCTATATTTAAATTTGGATACGTCCCGACAGTAATCCCGATGTACATGAAACACGATTCCAGTACCCTTTTGCAACATTTCGATCTGACTTGACAATCGACGTCAAAACCTGACAAGCATGCGTTTGCTTTACCAAAGACACTGTCTACCTGCTGTGCTGACACGAAACCATACATTACTCTGGTACGACAAGTCTGGCATGCCCAACATGACGAACAACACCATGACCCATGCTTCCTTGTTTTGTCACAGAGCACGCGCCGGCACTGACTTGCAAGAAGCCGGTTGCAGGGGTGCCTGCGCGTCAAAAAGGGAGATCATAATTGCTGCGTGTCCCATTGTCTAGTCATCATATTCTTCAGCGGATGCTGCAGGTCTCTAGTGGGTCTCCTCTGCTTGCGACAAACACCTCCATACATCTCTGCACGTGGCCTGGGTTTGCATCGCTTTATACGTTCTGGGATCTGAATACTTCATGATTTCGAAGAAAATGCAATAGTGTGGTAATGTATTCCTTGCGAAACATTGTTCCTGCCATCATGGCGTACAAACATACATGTATCAGCACGAGCCTGATCCAAACAGGGCTCACGGTTTCCAACAACAATCTGAACCAAATGCACTGTACGGCACCTGGGCGCAAACGCGTCATCCTGTTCTTGAAAACGAGCATGCGCCACCACTACAACCATAAGCTACTACAATACACGTAGATTGACTGCACGGTCTTGGTGGACATTTTTGTAAGTTACGTTCGTGCTCTAAGCCCCAGTGAACCGTCAGAAAAAAATCCCAGTCCCAAAGACAAATCCGAAACGACCGCCGACATGACTGAAAAGTGTAAGCAGGCAAGCACCACGCCCCACGCCTGATAAATCAGAGCCTCGTGCCAGCGTGAACACGATGGCTTGAATGAACGCGGCAATGCACGAGGTTGTCATACCTCAAACCCCAGAGTGGCAGAAGATTTGGAAGTGTGTTGGCAAGCATGGTGTGGCAATTTTTGTGCGCTGAATATACTTCATCGAATAATGTTTTCAGACTCAAAAAAACTACATGCGAAAAAAAAAAGTAGCAAACTCCATGAAAGTCTTTGCACGCAATTCAATCGAGGCACGCGTAATTGCAGATGCCAAGACCATTGTCGAATGTGTTGAAATGGCTGCATCAAAGCAAAAAAATGCATCAAGCCTATGCTGGCGACACACATAAATATTCGGCATCAATAATCACGTGACTCTGCAACCGCACTCATATAGATTCACGTAAACACAGCAGGGCAAAAAGTCGACCCATCCTTTTCCAATGCAGAGCATGGAGAACAAGTCCGTGCAAACCTAGCCCCGAAGCACCACGGCTTGGTAGGCTGTTGCAAGAGATGCAATAAGGTGTGGGTGAGCAGGACGAAAAAAAAACTCAAAACAAACACACACAAGCCAGGTTCCCAAGAAAAACAGAGTTCTGCGTTCGTTTGCCCGAACAAACCACAAGTTACGCAAAGAAGTCGTAGAAAATAGTGTGACATCCCTTCCCGAACTTGTTTTCAAGTGCATACTAAATAACATGTCATGTTCACATGCAATCACTGCATTTCATTTTCAATAATCATATGACTCCGCAATCGCACCCACAAAAATTTCACGTGTACTCGGCAGCGCAAACTGTGCAGTGCTGAACGTGGGGAACAGGGTAGCGCAAGCCTGCCCCGAAGCACGCCCCACGCGCACAACGGCACGGGCTTGCCACAAGCTCGCCCGCCACCGGTACAAGCTTCACCGCTCGCTCCAGCAGAGCCCCCATCCTCAACCTACTGGGAGTCATTTTTTTCATGCGGTCTCTGTCTTCAGCAGGTGCTGAAGTTCTTAAAGCCAGCCACCTTGCGCGGCACGCCTGTCGGTACAACTAAGAGAGAAAGCGAACCGAAGACCCCGGTAATGTAGCTAGAACAATTAGTGGCGCTATCATGCACATCGTGGGCCGAAGCAAATGAGACGGGATGACCATCATCATGCATGAACACAGAACCGTTGGGAAGCCCGGCACCACCCTGTATGTACCGTATTTCACTGAAGGCATACATACGCGAATGGCCCGTTAGCAATCGTAGTCGCGTCGCGCACTATGGTCTCGGAGCGAGACGCGGACACCATAGGGCCTTTTCCGGTGTATGAGGGGGCCACCGCCTAGCCTAGGCAGTACGGCAGCCCCAGTACTCCCATGAAGCAGAGGTCGGAGAACCTCAAACCTGTTGGAGGCTCAAAAAGGACCTACGAACATACAGAAACTTCAGCATCCCTCAGCGTTATTCCGCTTCAGGAGGAGATCATGCAGGAATGAGCTGTCGGCAAATTGTCTTGACCATTCGAGGGCTGCTGGAACCCAAGCACGTGCTTCCCCAACGGCTGGTCGCGAGTCCAGGCCTGCCAAGCGGATATCAACACCCAGCACGCCTAGACGCGCGATCCCTGTCACCTCAGTCGCCAGTAGCAAGTCGCGGCCCAGTGCGGTTTCTAGCGTGCACTCGACTCTGAAATCTGCATTGCCTCGGGAGAATCGAAAGCGAAAAACCTTGAAGTCCGCGAATGTACAATCTCAACTGGGGGCAACGTTCCTGCATGCATGGTGAAGGAAACAAACAGCTCCATGTACGTGATGTTAGGAGGAGATT